AATTATGGGATTTTTGTAAATTTTTTTGTTTCAGATTATAAGCTAGTAATTATAATTTAATATGAGTCATTTTAGTAATTCCTAAAATGATTTGAGTAATTATAAGTAATTTATTTTTATTTTATTAAAATTAACATCCTTAGCAAAACAAAGATAATATTAGTCTAGATGTGTTATTTTTAAATTGTGTAAGCTTTATATGACAGGAAGCACATTTAGCAGTCGGATTTAGGAAGCTGAGAAGTATTCAACCGAAAAAAAGATCCAAGTGTCAAATAGTTTACATATTGCGTATACTATTGCACTGGAAACAAAACGCCTTTGAAGTGCATAGAATTTCATAAACCAATTGAAATGACAACAATAAGTAAAATCAATGATCATGGCAGATGAAGGCCTCTCCGAGCTTGGGGTCTATCTACAGAGGCTCTGCATCAGAACAATAAGCATAATCAGTTGTAAATCTCACACTTCCAAAACTTTTTGCAAGACTGGTCAATCAAATACAAACTTACTCAGTGAAAAGATTATGTAAAACTAGATATACTTTCCTACTACCTACAGAAGATTTTGTACTCCATGGACCACATAAGCACCTTAGACTTCATACTGTAGACATATTCAGTTGCAACCAAATGTAATGCAATGGAATGAGATGAGCCAGAAACATTATGAATATGTAGGTGACGATGCTAAAATTAGAAGAATACTAGAAAGAAAGCTAAATTGTGTTCAAAATCAATACACTACAAGAAAATATATTTTTTTTACGAGAGAGATATTCCTTGTAAATTCGTTGTAATGGAGGTGTTACAACGATTTTATAAGGAATAAATTTTTGTTGTTAAGTGCTCGCTCGTAATGAGATATTCATCGAAATTGCCTTGTTAATTTACGACGAACATGTGTCGTCGTAAAAAACAAGTAAGAGGTTCGTAGTAAACAACTCGTTACATTTCGACGTAAAGACCTTGTTAACCCTCATCGTAAAGTCATCGTTACTTGCGTCGTAAAGTCATCGTTATTGCGTCGTAAAGTCATCGTTACGTATCGTCGTAAAGTAGTGGTTACGCATATGTAAATGTTATGAGAAATTTACGTTTCGTCGATGTAAATTCGATGTAACATTTTACGACGAATTACCATGTCCATTGATGTAAATTCTTTGAAATACTTTACATCGAATTTACTTTGATAAACATATAATATTTATTTATATAAAATATTATATTGATAAATATTCGAAATATAAATATACAAATTATAAAACGAAATATTTAATCTTTATCATTGTTAAAAAATCATAATATAAAAGTTATAAAACAATATTTAAATTTATATTACAAAAAAGAAACAAAATAAAAAAAACTACTAAACGTTGTTTGGGTCAAAGTAGTCATGGCTGGTGTCATCTTGTGTTGTTGGATGTTGCGGCATCCCGAGAGTCGCTCGTCTCGCGTTCAACGCTTGCAGCATAGTTCCATTTCCCACCGCAAAGAGGTGAAGAAGATCCTCAAGTGAATCCAAGCGAGCCTTCTGAGAATCCATCTGAGACCGCATCTGAGAAGTCTCCTCATCCCATCTCGAAACATATGACGAAGTCGCTCTTGGGACTTCATTGACCGAGCCTATTCCCACGACCCGTCCCTTCTTCCTAGGAGCCACCTTTACCAAAAAAAAAAATATACATTATAAATATTTAATTATATTATATTAAAGAATATATATAAATTAAAATTTATTTTAAAATTTACCTCTTCGAAAATACGGTCGACTTCTTCCATAATCAATTTGACCGGTAATCCATCGGAAGCCTCTTGGGTTAACTGTGTCTCCCGCTCTTCAACCCGAGCAGCCACATCGTTATAGAGTTTCTCCGATGCTGGATCAACAAAAACTCCGTCTGATGTGGCGTGAGTCATCTTGAAAAGTTCATCCAAAGATGGTAAAACTACACTCTTCTCGTACTACAGAATAAAAATCAAATTTTAAAAAGAAATTTAGTTAATAAATAAATTCAAAGAATTAAATTAAACATATAAAATTAAACTTACAACATCTAAACGGATCCCAGCGTGCGGTTTTTGCCCGGTTCTATGAAGCATTGCGTCGTTACCGTGTTTGTCCCTCGTTCTCAGGATTGTAGAGCACTTGGCCGACTTCTTGACCGACTCAGGATGGCTCCAAAAGGCGATGAGGCCATCCCATACATGCTTCGAGATCTCGGTGGGCTTCGCTTTATACCCGAGGATTTCCCACTTGTCCTTCCAATCCGAGACGGTGTTGGCAAGAGGAGTTTTTCCTTTTTTTTTCAAATCCCGCCTTCACCTTCTCGGCAGGAAAGTCACTAATCGTCCACAACAGAATTGCGCGCATCATAAATTGTTTCTCAAAGAACAATCATACGTCCTCACCCCTGAGGACCACAAGTCTTTCAGCTCTTGTATCAATGACTAAGGAAAAACATCTAGCGACTGTTTTGAATGCTTTAGACCAAAGATTAATATTGTCAAGAATAGAAATTCTTGTTCCATGCACATCTCCGGAGGTAGGTTTGTATGGCGTAAGAATAACTGGCCATAAAGAATATTGTCCCCAGACATTCCAAAATGAGCAAATCCGCATGTGCGTAATCCAAGATAAACATTCCAAATGTTACTGGCAAAATCAGGGTGTACCTTGTTGAAATGTTTCCAAGCTCTTGCATCTGATGGATGAACAATCTCACCATCCCTCTGGACATGTTCAGCATGCCACCACATCGCTCCGGCAGTTCTTTCCGATTGATATAATCTTTTCAACCTATCTGTAAGTGGTAAGTACCACATCATATGGTACGGTGGTACCCTATTCCTCTCCCGACTTTGCGGTTTGAATCGTGGCTTCTTGTAGAATCGACACTCTTCTAGATTCTTATCGTCTCTCTAGTAGATCATGCAGTTGTCGATGCAAACATCTATCATCTCCGAAGGCAACCCGAGCCTATAAACCAATTTCTTAATCTCATAATAAGATCCAGCTGACACGTTGTCTTCTGGCAAGAACTTTTTGAACAACTCGGCCCATGCATCCATGCAATTCTCAGATAGATTATGATCCGTTTTAATATTCATCCTCCTAGCTGCTAGAGACAATTTAGAGAGACCTTCTCTATCTACAATCAATGTAGATTGGTTGATTTGCAGCTTCTAGCATTTCATAAAACTTTTTTGCATCCAAATTAGGTTCTTCCACATTTCTAGTTTCATCAGATATTGTTGTAGTAGTTTCTAAATATGCATCAGTAATCATGTCGTGAACCCTATCATGATCTACCATATGTTCCTCCTGATGGTAACTATTTTCGTTATGCAAATGATTCGGTTCCTGATTACCAGCATTATGATAATTATTATTACTACTACCAACTTCATTTCCACCATAACCTTCTTCATGTTGAAACCAAATATAGTAATGTGGTATAAACCCTCTGTGTAATAAATGTTTCCATACACTTTCACTACGTGCAAATTTTGTAATTTTACAATTCAAACAGGGACATAACATTTTACCGCTTTCCTGCGTGAACGGTGTACAACATGCCTGGTGCATGAATGTCTCTAGCCCGGCAAGAAATGCATTCGTCACTCTACCAACATAATCTTTATGTGTATACATCCAACTCCATAATTCGTAAATATTTCCACCTCCAGACATTTTTTTTATTTGTTCTTCTTTTTTGTGTAAATTTGGAATGAGAATGGTGATATATATAGAAATTTTTCGGGTTTGGTAGGTGAAAACATTTACAAGTGATTTACAAGAAAACCAATTTAGTAGGATTTTACAACTTTATAATCTGGTTGTTACAACGAATGTACAAAAAAACTTGTGATAGTTGAACTACACTTAAAAAACGTTTTCACCTACCAAAAAGTAAGATGTCGCTGGAAAACACATGTTAATTTAATGTCCTTTACGGCGAATATGAATTTTTGTCGTATATTCATTGTAATTTATGACGAAATTGCTACGAAACATAAAAAAATATTTAAAACCCTATCGAATAAATAACTTGGGCATTTTCTATGTAATATCAACGTAAATTTACGACTAATTTACAACGAAAGTAATGTAAAAAAATTAAAAGGAGTTTACAGTCATCAGAACAGTTTTTATCAATCCCACATAGCTTTCCTCGAGCTATCTACTCGAGGAAAAGCCTCGAGCTATTTCCTTGAGGAAAAGTTACGAGGAGTTGATAAGAACTTTTCTGGTGACTGTGCACTCCCTTCCATTATAAATTGTATGTTTTGTATTTTTTTTTTTACAGTCAACGTAACAATTCCTAACAATCCCGCATAGTTTTCCTCGAACTATTTACTCGAGAAAAAGCTATGAGGAATTGATTAGGAACTATTCCGATGACTATGTATTTTTTTCTATTTGTTGGTATGTTTAGAAGAGTGATCAAATGACCTATATATAAGAAATTTTCAAATTTGCTAGGTAAAGGTGTAACAACGAATTTACAAAATTTTTACAACGAAATATTTTACTTGTCATTTACAACTTAACCACATGCGGTTTACTAGAGTTTTACAACAAATATAGTTAGGTGAAGCTCACTTTATAAATGTTTTTTCAAAAAGTAACTTTAACAGAATTCGTCGTAAACATCACGTAACATTACAAGTAAGTTACGAAGAAATGGCTTTTTCCTCATTCTCTTGTCGTAAATTTTCATCAGTCTTACGACAAAATATATTCCACGTAATTTTACATGGTCTTTACGATGAACTCAATATTCGTCGTAAACTCCATGTAATGTACACGTAAGTTTACGATAAATATTTTTCGTCGTAAAATATCGTCGTTATAGAAACGTTTTCTTGTAGTGAATAAACTTTAAATCAGTTTCATGAAATATTCACGACTTGGTAGAGCGATTAACATTCCCATGTGTTTGATAGACCAATCTTTTATAAAAAAAAATGATAAAATAGATTAAAAAAGGAGTTGGATAATACCGAGTAAGGACTACATTCAATCTGCATGATTTAAAAATGATATAGCAAAACCAAAATTATAAATTGGTAGCGAAATGGCAAATACAAAACAAAAAGCCGAAGAAACCAGCACTTGTGTGGAATTGACGATCCCTAGCTAGTGACAACAATAATTCGGTCTCATTGTTGCATCTCAGTATATTTTTTAACAACAGAAATTCTGAACGCCATCAACAAACATCACCAATATTTTATTTGATAGGAATCATTTCTTTCGAAGCATTATGAAATATTGCATTCCGGATTTGGCATTCGCAAGCTGTGGAAGTATATCTTGACACTTCTCCTCAATACGCTCCATTGTCTTGTCCATTGCTTCTTTACCAAACCGCGACTCAAGAATTCCTCCAAATGTAACTTTGTTTGAGGTTACTAAGAACTCTGAGTCTAAGGGAAGTTCTTCATTCGCATGACTTATTCTCTCAAACGCTTCTATAGTGAAACACCCATTGTCCTCAATGACACTCTTGAATTCCGCAACATGTGCCGGGTAGATTGGGAAATTGAGAGAGTCTAGCTCCTCTTGGTCGATTAACCCCTAAGCAAAAAAAAAGTGACGCAAAAGCATCAAAAATATAAATGATAATGTGTTTGCACCGTGGTACGCACTACAAAAAAAAGTTATATTAGTGAAGGATCTGACCGACAATTACCTCTTTAGCTACATCATGGAGACAATTTCCCATGAAATCTAGAAGCATTCCTTTCATTGTTTCAGACATTTTAATTCCATCAGGTAGACATGATCCAAGAAGAAATAGCAAACCCCCGGAGACAAGTTCTGCTTCTCTTGCTCTCAAGAAACTTCCCATGTCGATCTTGAACTGATGCTGGTACGCTTCCGCCACCTCTTCCGAGAATCCAGTGCAATGAATGTCCTTGTTCCACGCTGGAGAGTTACGATCCGCGATCCCTTTAGGAACTTGGGACAACCAGTGAAGTGAGTAAGAACAATGTCCCACATGGAGACTGTCTCGAGGTAGAACACGGCCAAAGAAAGAACCCGGAACTCCAGCAACAAAGTACTTCTTGGTCGGAGGGAGTGTTTGGAAAAGAGTGTTGAAATCATTCTTCAAGTGGTCGTTAAAGAGGACTTGGAACTCAATGTTGTCATCCGGATTTTGCTGAGTTTCCTTGCGATACTTCTCTTCCACAGCATCTATTATGTTTTGTACGGCAAGAAAAGTATTAGGTCCAGTGGAACAACCAAAATCCGCTATGTTAAAGCGATTGGAAGCTGAGTTGACTTCGAGTTTGGTCGAGATAGCTTCATTGATCTTTTCCTTTGCGACTTCAAGTAACGCTCTCTACATTAATCAATCCCATCATCAATGGACCCAAATTAAATCAAAGTGAATATAAACATTAAGCAAATTTAACTTTAAATATATTAATTTAACCCAAAGACATAAGTTATATCAATGAAAACGGTCTCCTCTATATTTCCAAAGTTCATATCTACTTTAAATATGTTTCAAATAAAAAGAACTGATTTGATTTTTTTTTTTTTAATTAATAACACACTTTTTCTTTATAAACTGAAGAAATCCGGGCACCATAATCTTCTTTCTCGGATCATCCATTAGTACTGTAATACAGCGTTTTAGAGTATTTATCAAAAACAGTCTAACCTGATACATTTGTCCCAAAAAAACTAACTAACCTGATACGTTGAGTGCTGACTATAGCTGTTTGGACCCTTGCCTCCGGCCATCGTGTACGTAGGAGCCATCTCTCTCTATATATGTATCTTGCGAATGTGATGGCTCTTGTGAGTTAATTTGGTCGTAGTAATTTGCATGTGTTTATATATACTCATATATTGAACTTTCAGTGGATATAATTGTTCTTAGATATTAATACAGCAAGCCAACTTTGACCGATGTAGGAAAACGACGACTTGCAACTCCAAAAGCTTTTTAATTTTCCACATAGTACGAAGAACTTTCTACGCTTACTTATTTTCCACACATGCTAATGTCGCCTGCTCGCCTGTGATATTCACAAACTCTATAAATAAATAATGTTAAGATCATGAAATTTTATTAATTTATAAAATTATTAATTATAAAAAGTTTTATTTAGACATTATTTTATTTTTAGATATTCTTTTTTGAAAAGTAAAAATATTTGATTTTAATATATGTATATTAATTGTTTTTTTTAATTTGACATTTATATTGATTGATTATATCATTTGGTGTATATAAAATATATTTCATAGAATTTAAGTGTGCTTCTAGATATAATTTTACTAAATCTCATCAAAATATATCAAATGTTAAGAAAATATAAAGAAATTTTATTGTAAAAATAATATAAAATATTTAGTGATAAATTCATACTTATTTAAAATATGTATACATAAAAATTATTAATTTATAACTTTAACGGAATCATATATTTATATAGTTTTCTAAAAAAATATTATCTTATTATTTTATCGGTTTGTATTATTGTGAACTGATCTAATTTGAAATAAAAGGAAATTAATTTTGTTACTAATTTATAGAGTATCTTATATAATAAAGTTGGCTTTTTCACTCGTTGGGGGGAAAAATGCCATGTGTCATCTTCTTTTAATGATGTTTTTATATTTATTATCTTTAACACATTTTAGTTTACTTAATGAACCAATAAATGTTAATAAAAATTTATTAAAATTTTTTTTCTATTTCATTATTATTTTTAGTTTTATATTTTAACAAAAATTTACAAATAATTTTAATATATATTTTTATTTATGAACAAATGATATATATAAGTTAATGCGATTTTTTATATAATAAAGTTGGTTTTTTCACTCTTTCGGAGGAAAAATGTCATGTGTCACCTTCTTTTAATGATGTTTTTATATTTATTATATTTAACAAATTTAAGTTTACTTAATGAACCAATAAATGCTAATAAAAATTTAAACATTAATTAAAACAAATTTTCTATTTCATTATTATTTTTGTAGTTTTCTATCTTAACAAAAATTGACAAATAATTTTAATATGTATTTTTCTTTATGAAAAATGATGTATATAAGTTAATGTGATTTTTTTTACAATGTAATTATATTTAGTTTATTTTTTATTAATGTTATATATGCATTTATATTGTAATGGTGATATATGATTTATTATTTATAAAATATTTCTAAAGTTTTTCTAAAATAAATAATTATACATCTCTTATATAATAAAGTAGAGTTTTGTTTCTCTTCATAGAGGCAAAAGATGATACTTGTCATTCTATCATTTGTTGAAAGTGTTTTTAGGTTCCATTATAAAAATCTTTTATTTTATTTGAATTTGAATTTTTATTGATTCTTACAAATGATATGATTTTTAATAAATAGTTTTAGTCCAGTAAATTAAAAAAAAAAATTTCTCACTTTCAACCTATTCTTCAAGATGGATGACAACTTTTATATCTCTAAATATGAAATATCTAAATAAATATCTTTGATTCTTAAATCTATTTGCTCGATTTTAAATTCTTAAATCTATTTTTATTTTGAAATCAATATCCTTGATTTCCAAAAGATTTCGGTAAAATAAGAGTTTAAAAGAAAAGAAAAGTTCCAGCAAGAGTCAAACCAAAACGAGGAAAAATTGAATTACACAACAATTCTAAAACCGGAAGTAAAAAAAAAACGAAAAGACAATTAAAATAATTTTGAAATCAACATCCTTGATTCTTAAATCTATTTGCTCAATTTTAAAATCATATGATTTATTAAGATTTGGATATCCTTGATTTTCCGTAAAAAGCTATTTTCATTTTGAAATCAATATCTTTGATTCTTAAATCTATTCGTTCGATTTTAAATTATATGATTCATCAAAGATTCTAAATCCAAATGTTTTTCTAAATCCATTAAAATAGTGTAATCAATAACCCCCACTAAATGTTATCACATGTTTACTATAATTATTCAAGAATCAAAATTGTATTAATTGTCAAAATGTCATGCAAACATCTATAATGCGTGTAAGTTTTCAGTATATAATTTTGGTTAAAACTGTTAAGTATTATAGACTCAGTGTAGTAGCATTATTATAGTTAGGAATGATTATATTACAAAATTTAATATACACTACTTTAATATATGATTGTTGGCAAAAATAAATATACAATTATTATTTTTTAAAAAGTTTTAAAATTTTAAACAAAACTAATAAATATTAAGTTATATAAATTTGAATTATCAAGTACGATATTTTATAGTTTTTTGTTCAGTAAATTGGAGAAAAATTTACCCGTTTCAACATCAAAAACAAAATTTTATTAAAAAGCACTATAATAAACATTGTTAGAAGTTTGAAGAATAAAACAAATTACCTATAGAAAGACATTATTAAATACATGAGTTTGTCAAAAAGTAGTTCATCAAACAATAACCAAGCAATCTCATCTAGACATTACAGTTTCTGATCAAATATCATGTAAATTTATTTAAAATCTTAGCATAATTAAAACCGAAATATATAACATCTACTGTCAATATTAGTTCGTTTACAATTTAATAATTTAATATGATTTATATTTTTAAAAATCGATATATAGGTATTATATATATTCAAAATTAATATAATAAATTAAACTAAAATTTATATAAGAAAACTCGGGCGTAACCCGGCAAAACCACTAGTTAATTTATAAAGTTCTTATTGTAGTCTTATAAGCACCAACTTGCTTTCCTTAAATATGTTTATGAGATATGTCGTATTAATTTTCATTATACTATAACCCTATCACTTGAAGGGCTCCAAACTCTATAGAAACGTCTTCAACATCTTCTTTAATCGTCTTCTCATTCGCCGAGTCCTAAAAAGTGAAACAATAAATGGCAAGGAAAGCAAGTTAAAGCTTAGCAAGAAGAAACAATGAAACACAAACAACAAACATGTAAAAGTCAGTGTGTTTACTCCGGTTTGCCTAAATCATTATATTAGATCAGATGTCGTTGTATTAACTTAACGGTTAATCTTCTGATTTCTTATTTTTTCGACCAGATGTCGTTGTATTAACTTAACGGTTTAAATGTTTATATCATATCAACGAGGAACTGTGTAATAAATAAAATAATGCCATATTAATTTACATATAACTTGTACATCAAAATATTACTAGTTGATCCTTTAGACAAAATGATATATTTCTTTTATATCAGAAATTATGTAGTCCTCCGCAAATTCACAGATATAAATATTATATGAAAATATATAATATGTATATAATGTCATAAATGTTGAATAATATATAGAAACATCAAAATATATATACTTTTAACTTCAAATAGTTTGACAATCAATTATAAAATTTCTATAACTTTGATGTAAAAATAATTGATGAATATTTATTAATAACAAATACTTGTGAAATTATATATGTAATTATCACATTAATTTCTCTAACACATATTATGCATCTTCTTCAGTCTCTATTTATTTTTCTTGTTATTATTTCGTTCTTTTTATTAAATTTTTGCTAATGTTTTCCTAATTTTGTTCAAATTTTTTGCCAAATATTTAATTATCTCTAAATAGTAATATATACAATCAATGAACCAAAAATCCATCTTAGAATTATTTTCAGTCATAACATTACATTATTCACTATATTATTTGACTTAAATATAAAAAAAAATTTAAATCAAAGTTCCATGTTTCGTTAAATATAATCTGTCCAATCTTCAAAGTCTAACGATTTATAAAGCATTCATTATAAGCGCTTAATAATTATTATAGATAGGACTATATTTTATATAAATACGAAATCATTATATTGATTGCTATAAATGGTTTTGTATTACTTTTTATGTGTAGTATCTAAATATAAAATAATTAATTAAACATTATTATATTTTCTATAACTTTAAAAATTAGCTACCATTAATTTTATAAAAAAATTTATACTATGAAAGTTTTAAACTCGTGAAAGTAATCTATAAACCCATTTTATGATCATTAATAGTTACTATAATGTCTTTGTATTAAAATTATATGTTTTATCTACGTATATTATGACTTATATAAGAAATTAAACTACTTTTATCACTGTTTATAGTAGAAAAATAAAGCTAGTAAATTAATTTTGTTAAGTACATTTTAAAAGTATACTTTATATAATTTATAAATAGACTATTAGTGAATCCATATAAAGAAAAAAATATTATATAAACTTTTCATAATTGCTACAGTTAAATACTATAAATGATTATGCATAAGATTTTATCAAATGTTTGGCAACTAACATTAACTGGTTCTACATTGGCTTTTTTAGATTTAATTAAAATAAAATTTAAAATCATTGACTAATCAAATTATAATAATTTTTTAAAAATCTTTACATATGATTGATATATACAAAAAATCACTTAAATAACTTCTTAATTAATATATAGTAGGATGTCAAACAAACCTACAGATTTTTTTGTAACTATGTATAAATATAAATTAAAAATTTAGACTCCTGAATGGAAGAGAAAATTTGTAAATCGTTTGAACCTGGCTGGAAAAACTCAGTTATCTTTTTGTTTTTAACATCTACTCAGTTATCTATTTTAACAAGAATGAGGTAATCTATTAAATGATGTTTTTTTTATTTGATGCATGTTCATGCGGATAAATATTACCTTTTTGTACTTCGCAAAAAGGAACAACTTTGAATATGAAAACAGTAAGTGTGTACCGTCTATATTTATCAACAATTATATTGTTTATTGCATCCATAAGTATCTAAAATAATACATATACGTCATTTAAATACATTGCTAATCAAACATTATGTTCAGTGGTCCGCTTATTTAAATATTAGTAGTTCATCAGATCTCCTAGTAGAAAAGGAAAAGATCTGAAGGAACTATTGGAGAGAATATAATTAAGTTAATGATGAGGAAAACAACATGTATGAATGAACACATTGCAGCAAGCTCCACCAAAGTCATTTAAGCTCCTTCGGATATTGAATCTGCCATTAGCTTCGGTTGACGTCACTGCTATTATCATTAAAAATATAGCGATTGACACCATCGCAGTTTTCCTTTCAAACGCCATTTTCTTCTTAGTATTTTTTTGCTTTTTCGAAATTTCTGGTTGGTGGTTGATTATGGAGTTAGCTATTAGTGCATTTATATATTAAACCAAGTTTCCAAATATAGTAAATTACTAATTTAAGACAACTTTTAATGGATTTTTGCTTGTGGATGGTATTTGAGCGAAACTTGATTAATCTTAATTCTATCCCTGGTGAAATAGAATATTTGTTGACTAGGTCTTTGGTCTAGACAAAGCGTGGGTATATAAAACTTGGCTAACAAGAAACAGGCAAAGACCTCTGAAGCCACACCACCGTCAATGAGTTGGGACGGTTCGGTCAACAAAACGTCTAGTTGCTTCTTCCACAAGCAATCCAGAGAGCTATGTTTCTTCTTCCATTTAAGTAATGAAAGCAAAATTCTGACCAAGAAAAAAAAAACACAGATGATTTTGTTTCGAGGACTGTCACTACATGGCGTTCCAAAAGTGATTAGTCTGTTTCTGTTTTGATGGTTTCTTAACCACAGCAACTAGCATAAAGAACAAGAAGTTACATTTTCAAAAACTCTAAACTATCATGCGGTTCGAAGAGACACTTGGGGACACTCTAGTGATATATATATCTAACAGAATCTTAACAGACTTACTCAGAAGAATGATGATCTCGACTAGAAGACCTTCTATGATGATGGGAGCCCCTGTGTTTATGACGTTTATGCGGACGTTCTTCTCTATGGTTTGATCTTTTGCTGCCAGAAACATCTTCCTTATCCCCATATCGATCTTCTTTGATTCGTGACCTCTCTTTTCTGTCAGACCGAGACTCTATTCTCGAACGCTCCTCTTTGTCTTTGCTGCGTCTTCTACAAGCCCTCTCGCTTTCCCTCTGACTGTGATAAGATCCTTCTCTCTTGACATGGCTCCTCTGCTCTTTAAACTCTTCTTCCCGATTATATCCTTCGTCTCTATTGGACACACTTCCTTTTCTCCTAGGTGGTGATGGGATCTACATCCAACAAGCAGTTTATCACGTGCTAAGAATTTAGTAGTATAAACACATTGAACAACATATCAATATGCCACTTCTAGCACAAGAAACACCAACAAAAGACCCAATATAACTAGCATCAGAACAAAACAGAGAAACAATTTAGAAGAAACATAGAGTAGTAGTGAAAGACCTGCGTTCGCGACATGTATCTTCCCTCTGGTGGAAGCTGAATCCCAAGCTTTTTCAAATCTTCATGAGGGATTGGCCGCCTGATATTACAACAAACATAAATCCACAGTGATATATGATTAAGAAGGAAATGAAAAGGTTCATGACAAATATCTTCAGCTGGTTATATATATCTATCTATGAAACAGGCTTAAAAGGAAGAGACAGTACAAGGGAGCACGGAATGGTCTTTCTCGTCCTCCAAAACGAAGTTGTCCAGATTCTTTCCTACCACCAAGTCCACCTCCTGCTTCCAAGGATTAAGCAAACAGATGAAGATCTAACTCCTATTGTTTAGAGAAAAGAGCAGAAGAATAGGCAAACCTAATCTTCTTGGTATCCATCCAGGCATTAGTTGCTGCCTATTGTAATCAACAATAATCTCTCTACCATCAATAAATGAATGATGAGCATCCTGTAAAACCATATACAACATGGATTTCAAACAGCTTTACAGAGACCAAAGCAAGACATAAACAAAACAAAGAAGAAGCAAGTTTAGCATCATCGTACCTCGTAAGCACGACCCATCTCCTTTTCACACTCATACTCCACAAAAGCATATCCTCGTGATGCACCTGTCACTATATAAAGAAAACAACACAATGCGAAGATCACACAATTATGCTAAAAGACAATATCTTGGAAAGAACCAAACCTTACCAATGTGTCTGACCAAGCGCAAGCTCTTAACTTTGCCATATTTACTCATAGCCTACAGACAAAGAAACATCACATAATCACTTAAAAATGTTTAACTTAGGGCACAAACACAACAAAAAGCTCTTCACCTCACGAAGAGTATCCTCTGTAGTAAGATGAGAGATTCGACCCACGAACAATGTACAGTAAGGATCTCCAGCGGCTTTCGAATCTCCAAAGGCATCATCTTTCGGAAAACACATATAATAAATCAATGAGCTTTTGCAGATTCAGAAACAAAGAGACGAACTTGGAGAGAGAGAGAGAGTTTTACATAGACCGGCGTTGTAACAGAGGAGAGCTCGACGCACGCCGTTATCATGCGGCGCGACGTCTGTTCCGTCTATACTTCCGGCTTGAATCGGATGATACGACGTCGCGTAGAATACTTTGTTCACGACGTTGTTTCCTCCGCCGCTCATTTTTTTATTTTCCTTTCTTCTCTATCACGGTGGCTCCGGGCAGTAACATTGAGTAGGTAAACGCTGTCGTTTAAGCATTATCACTCCTATGATAAAGTTGCCGCGTAACGGTGTCGTTTGGATAGATATCGCTACGTTTCAATGCTAAAACGCTGTCGTTTCATTAAACGCATAGTTGATGTAAAGTTGTAAACGCTCTCGGCTAACAACAAACGCTGTCGTTAAAGGAAAGTGTTTAAGTGTGATACGCTGTCGTTTCATTGAAAACTGTTTTTCGGCCCAATAAAATAACAAGAGGCCCATTAGTGCCAGCTAAGGCGGAAACTCCAACGGTGACACTTCCTACACTCATGGATGACTGAAGACGAAGATTTCGAGAAGAAGAAGAAGAAACAATGATGCTTGCTCGATTTGTATTTCGATCTCATCTGAGAGCTTCTCTCTCATTTCGGCAATCTGCTTCTTACTCGTCTTTATCAGCAGCATCAGCTGAAGCTGAAAGGACGATTAGGGAAGGTCCGAGGAATGACTGGAGTAGAGATGAAATCAAGGCTGTTTATGATTCCCCTGTTCTTGACCTCCTCTTCCATGGCGTAAAGTTCCCTCCTTTCTCTCTCCCTCTCACTCTCTCTCACTCCTCTGTTTGTTGTTATACCTCCTCTGTTTCATGAATGTGAAGTTGGGTTTCTGTAAAGTATCGATTTTTAGTTTTTAGTTTGACGCTGAATGTGTTTGTTTGGGTAGAGAACGTCTAAGCTTGGATCTGCTTTAACATTAGTCTCATATGGTTTGCACAACTGGTTTTCATTGTTCTTTTTGGGGGGGTTTCAGGCTCAGGTTCATAGGCATGTTCATAACTTCAGGGAAGTGCAGCAATGTACTCTCCTTTCTATAAAGACTGGTGGCTGTAGTGAGGACTGTTCATACTGTCCTCAGTCTTCCAGATACAGCACTGGAGTCAAGGCACAGAAACTCATGTCCAAGGACGCGGTTATTGAAGCAGCGAAGAAGGTTTGTTGTTTCCTTATCGAATCCTTGGCTCAGTGTCTGTTCTGTAGCACAATGTGTCAGTAAGAAACGTGAGGAATGTAACATTGGAGTTTCTTAGTATAATTCTGTTATCATCATTAGCTTTTACTCTAATTAATGCTCTATCCAAGGAATCTAACATACACTATTTAGTTGCTATATTTACTCAAGTAAAACTATAAATAATCAAGAGCCAGGTGATGATGAAAAATGATAATCTAGGATATTGGGATTCTTTTAATGAATCATTTTGAGAATGTATTGTGCTCTTGTGATGTGAATCTAACAAATTTTATGAGTTTGTTAAGGCAAAAGAAGCTGGTAGCACACGTTTTTGCATGGGTGCTGCCTGGAGAGATACCATAGGACGGAAAACCAACTTCAACCAGATACTTGACTACATCAAAGAAATAAGGTTCCCATATTATTATATTTAAAATGGTCTCTAGAATGAAAAACATGTTGAATATGTTCTTTTAGCTTTAACATCTTGATCAAAAAAAAAAAACTATATTTCTGGGCTATCACTTTACAACAGAGGCATGGGAATGGAGGTTTGCTGCACATTGGGCATGATTGAGAAGCAACAAGCGTTAGACCTAAAGAAGGCAGGCCTCACTGCTTATAACCACAATCTTGATACATCAAGAGAGTACTACCCAAACGTCATCACTACTAGAAGTTATGACGATAGACTTGAGACTCTTGAGCATGTTCGTGAAGCTGGAATCAATGTCTGTTCAGGTAACTTCGATTTGAGACAACGAACATCCTTAGTATTCATTGATTTGGTAGATACGTTGATTGAGAAGGACAAACATGTTCTCAAGTGATTTTTCTTTTAACTGATTAACAACAGGAGGAATCATAGGGCTTGGAGAGGCAGAGGAGGACAGAGTAGGATTATTACACACACTGGCAACACTTCCTTCTCACCCTGAGAGTGTTCCTATCAATGCTCTGCTTGCTGTCAAAGGCACTCCTCTTGAAGACCAGAAGGTATAATGCAAGTCACAGGCGCTACTTAGTGGTAAAAGAGCTTTGAAAAATCTCGTGTGTTTTTTTTTGTAGCCGGTTGAGATATGGGAGATGATAAGGATGATTGGAACAGCAAGAATTGTGATGCCAAAAGCAATGGTGAGGTTATCTGCTGGCAGAGTCCGTTTCACCATGCCAGAGCAAGCCTTGTGTTTCCTTGCTGGTGCAAACTCCATCTTCACTGGAGAGAAGCTATTAACAACTCCAAACAATGACTTTGACGCCGACCAGCTCATGTTCAAGACTTTAGGACTCATTCCTAAACCCCCAAGCTTCTCTGAAGATGATTCTGAATCAGAAAATTGCGAGAAAGTTGCTTCTGGTTCTCACTAAAGTTTGAGCACTCTTTGAAGTAGCCACTTTTTTTAGTATGTAGCATTACAGTATCAGGCTATCATATCAGTGATGTTAACTCTACAATCTTAAGTTGATTATGATACAATAGTGACCAGTATAAACTTGTCACCAAATATGTTTTTATATTATTGTTGTGATGAACGTGTAGTGGTCTTAACACATTGAAACTACCACTGTTGGGAATGTGGCATTCTATATCTGCATTCTTGTTATGATTGATGACAATGTACAGTGGTCTTAACGCATTGTAGATCTTACTAACTGATCGTAACCCATGTAAAAGCCCATTAAAGTTTTTGACTTTCGAATCTGGAAACAGTTGTCCATCTTTTTAAGTCAACAAGCTTGTTATTATGTACTTGTGTTGTGTTGGAACTTTCTTTTGTTCCTCCTTGTCGTCATTTACCGAAGAGAACAAAAAAAAAAAAACAGAATTCTGTCTAGATGCCAAGATCAAGAACTTGTGTCTTGATTCTTTTATTGCCTCTAGCCTTGGTCTTGTACCTTTACAAGTACCTGCCTTCTCCAGCTATTGTCGAACAATCATCATACAGCTCCATCTACCACATCTCCGTTAAGGTATAATAATCTATTCACCTTTATCCTATGACAATTCATTAGCTAATTGTGCATCCTGTTCGTTTATTCCTTGATCATGTTTAGTTCTAGTTGATTCATTTCTTCTGGGTACACTTTAGGCCATGGCTAACTCTACGATCCGACATTGCTTTCGTTTTTCTCATTGTCTTGTCTTAATTAGAATTCAGTACAAAGACTTGATATTTATGGGGAGATCATAGGTGATATGATGTAACTTCGTAGAACTAGACGAATGTTCTTGATTACTAATGGCTACAGTTGCAAATGTTTACTGTTAGATGAGAAAAATGGTTCTTTTTATGTGTGTATTTATAGTGAATATTTCAAAAATCTATACGGTTAATGTTAACGAGCTCTACAAAGTTATTCATATAATAAGTTCATCATAACATAGTATCAAATTCTCTAAATTGCAGGACATTGAAGGGAATGATGTGAGTTTAAGCAAGTTCACTGGAAAGGTGCTTCTTATTGTCAATGTAGCCTCTAAGTGGTAAGCTTTTTAAGTATTTACTTCTCTCTACTGTAGCATCTAAGAACCCCTCAGCGATGCTAACTATACAATGTTTCAGTGATTATGATACAGTGACTAGTATAAGCTTTACAGTGTAATGTGTCTTTGGTCTTTTATTGGGCAGTGGTTTAACACAAGGAAACTACAAAGAGTTGAACATTTTGTATGCTAAGTACAAAACTAAGGGTACGTCTCTGGCTTCTTAGGATTGTAACTAGTGGAACATATATATGTATTGAGGGGCGCATCCTTTCACATGCAGGGCTTGAGATCTTAGCGTTTCCCTGTAACCAATTTGGAGGTCAAGAGCCAGGTAGCAACAAGGAGATTAAGGAAAACATTTGCACAACGTTCAAAGGAGAGTTCCCCATCTTTGACAAGGTTCTCGTCAACTCTTGAACTTATTTCTCAGTTTCGATCACAACACGGTGATGTTACTGCGTAATTTTATACTTATTTTTTTCTCTGATGTTAAAGATTGAAGTGAATGGAGAGAATGCTTCACCTCTATACAAGTTCTTAAAAGAACAAAAAGGCGGATTGTTTGGGGATTCTATTAAGTGGAACTTTGCAAAGTTTCTGGTAGACAAACAAGGAAATGTTGTGGATAGATATGCTCCTACAACATCACCTCTTGAGATTGAGGTTAGTACAAGTTTCCCCAACCACACACACTGATATTCATTTCTATAACCATTAAAGGTTCTGTCTGACCTTTTAGTTTTGTCCTACTTCTTTTCACAGAAGGACATAGAGAAGCTATTGGCATCTGCTTGAACATAAAAAGTTTCAAAGGTGAGTTTGTGTGCTATTCCCCAAAGATTATCTCACTTTCCTTCTCTGGAGTAAGACAAGAAACTTCATAGGTCATAGAGATAGATAAAAAGTGGTATGTGGAATGTGAACGTATATCTGTAGTTAGAAACTTAGAAGGCAACTTTAGCCAAACTCTTAGGAACAGTTAGGTTGTAATAACTCCTCCAAGCTCGTGGGTTGAAACATAGAAAAGAATAGAATCTTGTTTAAGTTGTACACTTTTAATTAAGGACAAGAAACATCAAATATTTTTCTCTATAGAAGTGCTTATAATGTGGACAGTTTTTGGTGCAGGACAGGAGAGCAGTGGAACATGTTCGAGTTTGAGACGGAAAAGCCACTTTTATATACTGATTCTCTTTACAACTATTCCTGTGTGAATCATGTTTTTAGTAACCAATCTTCATCAGAAGAATAAAGCTTTTATTTATTTTGCTCTTATAAGAATGCATTACAACAAAATTCACTAGCAAAATCTTTTTTTTTGTACATATCTGAGCAAAGAGCTCATACAACAAGTGGATTGTTCCAAGCAGGTCAAATCTCTGAAACAGAACAGCTTATAAAGAGACATCACTCCTGCAAGTGGTGTTTGTTGTCCATCTTCTTCTTCTTCTCCTCAAGTGCATAGTCTCACAGTGCATGCTACAGCTTGTGCCCAGAATCTCAACCTTGCTTTGACATCATCAGGATTGTCCCCTGTTCTCACATATATTTCATTTAATCAGAAAAAATAAACTTACATGCAATATAAAGAAAGGTTACAATGAATATGGGCTTACCAGGACTAGAGATCTTCCAGCTAGCTATTGGACTAACTTGAGATTCAAGCATCATTGGAGATTTCTTCTCAGGCGAAGAAGTATCATGATCTATGAACTTCTGACTCATAGAGTAACAAAGCTCAAGAGCTGGTAACGTATTACAAAGCTCAGGAATCTCCTCGTAGTTGAACCCGAAACCAAGATCTACACAACCTTTAAGCTCCTCGAGATCATCGTCTGTTAAACTCTTGGTCCTCTTCAAATCATCATTCACCACAGTATCTACAACGTAACCTTCAAGCAACACATTACTCTTCTTCTTCTTCTTATTCTCCAACTTCTTTGTTACAACCTCATAACTGATCTCTTCCTCGGATTCACTGTACGTGGAGCATGAGCTGGAGGTGGAGATGTCTGAGTCAGAGTCAAAGTCTGCTTCGTAAGAGGAACAGCGAGAGAGAAAGTCTGAGTCGCACATTCTTGGTTTCTGCTTTTATTTGCAGAGAGAAAGGTTAAGAAGAAGAGAGGAGAGAAAGTGAGGAGAGGAAGAAGGTGAAGAGGTGCTTATAAAGCTATCAACGGGCGGCAATTATTTTTTATTGTCTCTTTCTTAATCATGTTGTGGTTACTAATGTATGTATGTTATGTGATTATTATTTTTATATGATAATGATGATAATTATCATGAGATGTAAGTCCAAAGTGGGCCGGAAGATTGGGTCCCACCATGTGCCAGCATAGAATCTAGATCGGCGAATATTTCTTCTCAAATAAGCACCTTTTCGCCGATTATTCCCACTGATCAAGCATCTTTTTAATATGTCACTAGGTGTTTTGCCCGCACATGCGGGCATAATTTTCATACAATTTATTATTAGTCTATATTTTATTAATTCAAACCAATATAATAAGTTATGATTTATGTTTTAAAATTAATTATAAATGAAAACACTCACATAATAAAATATTTTTACAAATGTGTTGTTTTAATTTATTTTAATTATATTTTTTCTATCTTAATTTTTTATTTCTATAATAAAAAATATATTTTCAAGATAACAATATAATACATAAGAAGTATCTTATTTTCTGAAAATATAATTTTTAACAAAAATTCATTTTTATTTTATAATAAATTTTATATGAAATTATTAAAAATATGACAAATTATCTAAATCATTGAGAAATTACAAATTAGATAATTCACTTAATTTTTCTAATAGAAAATATATGTTTAAGATAACAATCTAATACTTAAAAATTATCTTTTTTTAAAAAAAAAATCTAGTATTATTATATACATTCGTTTTATTATTTAATAAATTATATATGAAATTATTAAAATATGATAAATAAGCAAAGTATAAAACCATGGAGAAGTTGATAAATCAGCATTGCTTTTTTATATTTAGCTATTAATATTGTAACTTAATTTTTAATTTCTGTGATAAAAAATATATTTTAAAGATAGCAATATAATACATAAGAATTATCTTGTTTTTTAAAAGTATAATATTATTAATAGAAATTCGTTTTTATTAAATAATAAATTGTATATGAATTATTTAAATAAGATAAATAAACAAATTTAGCTAAAATCAAGGAGAACATGACAACTAAGCAAATTTACTTCTTAAATAATAGTATAGATTGGTTGATTCCGTTAGCTCCGGAAAAAACGTATTTGCTTTTATAGAGTAAACTAAACACAATACTGTTTAATCATCATTTGAAATACTTTTCAACTAGTATTATGGCTAACCAAGCTATCATGTAAATTGTCAATACCACTACCACATCAAGTTTTCTTTTTTTGTTGCCAAAAAAAAAAAAAAGAATCAAATTTTCTTTTTTTGTTTTTGTTTTATCACGGGTAAACACAGTTTGGTAGTTCACAAACCTAGTCTAGTCAAATAGCAGAAACTTTTTTCTAAGTAAGAATCAAATCTAATTTAGGGCATTATGTGTTTAGTGTTCATTATCATCCTTTTTTGGTAACTGATGTTCTATATCATACTTCATCAATCAAATTGTAGTTTAGAAGCGCTAGATATCTAACTTTTGTATTCAAACTACATACCGCCACCATTAGGGCTGGATCTAGGCATAAGCTAGGGAGATATTGGTTTTGACCCTGAAATTTTTTAGATATGTTTTATAGATGTAGATCCCCAAATTATGAAGAACAAAAATGTACTAAAGTTCTTAACAAAAATATTTTGAGGCTCTCATAAGTCATAATGTCAGATCCGAGCCCTGACCACCATGCATACACTGATACACATCATTTGAAAATTAGTAAATTTTTTTATCATCTTTAACTGAAATATCATAAATGATTAAAACAATATCGTACGTGATAATGGGCTGGATAAAATATCTGTAAATTTTGGTTCGATTCGTTATCTGTTATGATTCAAACCGGATATCCGTAACTATACGAAGCAAATCAAATATTAAAATGTGATATCCGTAAGAGACAAAGCAAAAAAACTAATACCAATTTTTTTAGGAACGAATATCCGATCTGATCCGTTATATACATATATATACACATATATTTAAAGAAGTATATATAGAAGTTATATAAATATTATATTTTATTTATTTTTTACAAGATTTTTATTTATTAAATTTATTATATTAGTTGTTAGAATTTTTAAAATTAATTAAAATTTATTTTGTAATAAAATATTATTATTTTATATTATTTTGGATTTTTATTTATTTTTTAAAAAATTATTTTATTTTTACGGATTGAATTGGATATCCGGTAAAATTCTAAAATTTTCTGGATATCCTAGAAGGCGAATATCCGAAGGGCTACGGATCAAATCGAATTAGATAATTGATTATTCGAACAAAACGGATCAGATCACAAATATCTCTGAATATCCGGATATTTGCTCCATGCCCACCCCTACATGATACATATTTATCCCATTTTTTGATGAAAATGTAAGCTCATCTCACGTACCTTATATATAATCGTTGTATACACAACAAATGGGGAAATGCAATAATTACCGCAAAATAAATAACTAAAAGATAATGTCGAATGTGGTGAGCAATTGGGCTGAGTCACGAAGAATCAAACCGCAATTTATTTTCATTGTAAAATGAAATATATGTGGATGTCCTTTTATCAAGAAACAAAAAAAAAATATACATGTAGGGTTATGGGTCCATGCAAAAACAGGTATAGAATGTAGATTGAGTTATTACTGGGTCCATTGATACATGTAGCAGAAAGCAAAATGATGCGTTGTGTATATGTTAGATTAGATGCATTAGTCACAGATATGCATACAATTTCATATCTAACTTCTCGCTGCCCCAACAAGAAGTCGTTGCTCCAAACTTGTTAGGTTGCTTCGATTATTCCACTGAAATAGATTGGTAAACAACTATCAGATATACATAAATATGTATTTAGTTTAACCGATACATGTGTAGATGAAAGACTAAAGCTATTAGATAATTTAATTATTGCAAATCTATTTCATAAAACAATTCACCTTTGGCCTGCCAATAAGTCGTTGCCCTCGATCGAGATGCGCCACGTCGATTTTACATTTCCATACGACTAGAAAGACAATTTTTAAAGTAACTTTAGATTCCACAAGAACATTTTAGTTTTCTAATCTTATTTGTAGCTATTGGCAAACAAATTAAAAGTGTGATTCTTTAATCTTCTTTAGCCTAATCGACAATTGTTAGTGAGGTGACGCATATTAGTGGAAATTGGAAAGGCTATTGGGTACGAATCTTATGTAAATGTTAGGAACTGTAAAAACCAAAACCAAAACAAAACAAGATTGCTACTGGAATTTCTAATAGAGAAAATAATGAAAGAAAATGATCGTGGTCCAGCTTTTGGTGAGCTAATTGTCTTTATTGACAAATTAACATGACTTTGATATATATGGTGCGCCGGCGTCAAATGGAGACAAACGTGTAATGTTAACATATGATGACGTTTGTCATGATGAGATAAATTGATGTGGTCCAACTTTTACCTTATATATGTGTATGGTAACATGACTTGGTAGTATAGATGACCATTAAGAGATGTGAATTATGTAGTGAACAAAAAATATTGAATTACCAAATCACAAACCTACATTGTATAGTGACACATAAGACAACACAGCACAAAGGATGCATTATACAAGATCCAATCATACATCTTGGTGGCCCTTTGATGTCCCTAATTGTATTGCCATGTCCAAATATAATAAATGTATCTGTTTCATCTCTCTTTGTTTTCCTCCAATCAATTAATGTTGTGACTATAAGACAAAGACATATATCTGTTACTATAATTTAACAGAACAGAAGATAAGTGGAACACAGTTCCTATGACAAGTCTTATATTTGTGAAGTTTTCATCTATTCAATGCTCTTGTCAAGTTTTCTTTGCTTAGACCTTTCTAGGCGCAACGTTTTGATCATAGACACATGCAATCAGATACAGATTTCTAGACAAAGGAAATCTCTAGAACATAAGTCATATAAAAGACTGGAATCCAAAGTGGACCCTATAACAAACATAGTTCCTAACACATTGTGCTATTCCAGCATCGCATTACATATCACTGAGCTAAACCGGATCCAATCTTGCCTATTAATCTGTTTAAGAAGTTTTTTAGTCAGGTTTAATAATTACTGCTTACTTATCAAACATATGTAAAGTATATGAACATGTCAGCGTAACAAAAACCAAATTGATAAATCTGTATTTTCAACATTGTGTTAATCATTCAACTTTAATCAGACATATTAATACAAACTAGAGTTTGACCCGCGTATCCGCGTAAATATTGATTTTTATGTTTTTATAAATTGATATTCATTTTTTATGATTAGTGTTATATGTTCTAGATATGTCGCCGATAACTAATTGCATACAAAAGAACTAGACTGAATCAGGTAATAAGATTCAAAAATAATCTGAACTCATTTCAGATATATTGGTTATTTAGATATTCTTATGTTCATATACATCAGAATCAAAATCATTCAGACCCGGATCCGAGGGACCCATTTCAAACCTTACACATAAATTTATAATATCCAAGCATGTCTAATTTTAAAACCCAAAAAAAGATCTCGAAAGAAACAACTTGTATCTGATTGAATACCCGAATGTCCATATCTAACTGATTCGATAAATATATTAAAAAAATATTTATTTATGTTTAGCTAAACTAAAGGAAATAGAAAGAATTTTTTTATTTATTAAAATAGTTATATGGAATGAAACATTACGGGACAATAAATGTAAGAAATATTAATTATTTTAAATTAAATTATTATTTAGTTTACATAAACTATTTTTTAAATTATGTGTTTGGCTACATAATTTTTCACTAATTGGAACCAAGCTTTTTAAAACCGGACCGACCCGTTGGTTGGACCAGGTTTGACCATGAACCGATCACGTAACCAGGTTGAATCTACCAACTGGTTCAACCATGAACCGGTCAAGTAATTGGATATATTTATCTCAGCGTTATTGGATTTAATAAACACTATTAAGACTATCAAAACTCTATAAACCA